TTATCATTTTCACTTTTTTTAGGTTTGGACTAAATTTTAGCCACTCTAGAAAATATCTAATCCTTGTAAGGTCTGAGAGACCTCTCCCTCTTCTGACCTCTACTGATATTGATGATAATGGTGGCCACCATTTATTAAGCAATTACATGTGCCTGGTAGCCTGCTCAGCACTTGCATGTATTGCATTCTAACTCTGGTCTCATTATTTTTTGTCATGGATATTTGTATACACACCTTCTTTTTCCTCCTAACTTACCAGGTCCTTGAGGACATAATATGAGTCTTGAATCATTTCTGCCTTCTCCCAAGTCTAGCATAGGACCTAGCATAGAGCAAGTGCTGCATAAATATTTGTTCGATGAATGGATGGATAGGTAGGGAAGCAGAATTAAAAGTTTACCCTTGTTTGAACAAATGGTTTGGAAGCATCCTTAAACACTTGAGAAGCACTCATTTATACCCACATGATTAGTGGGCTAAATTGTAAATCATTCTGATATTTTTATGACATTGGCTTCCAAGTGTCATTTGGCTACAATATATTTTGTTAGTATAGTTTGGATATAGAAATGAAAAACATATATACACATGACAAAAAAACCCTTTTTATATAAGGATTTTAAAATTCAGATGTCTTCTCTAGCCAATTATTATCAACCATCTCTTATAAGCTCTTCTTTCCCCTCAGAGTTGAAAGGTGTGCAAGGATTATTATATATTATATATAACAAATATACATAAATATATATACACATATATATTTAATATCGGTCTACTGCTTCTGGGTCCTCTGTTGCTCTACTGTATAACTGCAAGCACAGTTATGAATACAGTAAGTCAGTGCAGAGTAAATAAAAAGCCTGTGTTGACTTTGACTTATTACTTTCTGATCCTCTTAGTGCTTCTGAGGAGCCCACATCTTACAGTAGGCTGAGCTCAGCTGATTACGGATTAGGATGCTGCCCAAAACCTGAAACTATCCTTTTTTTTTTTTTTTAAAACTTCCTGTAAGACCTGGACTAGAAAAACCAATAGTAACAAAAGCTAAAACAAAAGCATTTCTGAAAATCCTCCTATAAATGGTTCAGATTTGTTTAAGTGAGTAAGAATTATTGTTTGTGTCCAATTTTCATTTTAAAATTCTGCAATAATCCGAAACTAAAACCAATTCTTTTATCACATTTTCACTTTTTACTTAAATAAAGATAAGTTCATTGTTCAAAACCAAGCCTGGTGTAGAAATCTTGGGCCATGCTTTCTTCCCCCATACTGAAGCATAGATTAACAGCACAAATTCTGACACTTTAATTGTCTTTCAGAATACCTAGGTAAAAATGAGAAGATTAAGGGCACAATAGGCGAGAAGTCCACAAGGAGACTGCTCAGTCTCCATCACAAAGGCCTCGCTGTAGGCAGTCTGCAGTGTTTACTCAGAGCCTGTGCTAGCAATTAGTCTGCTTAAGTATCTCAGGCTCTGCCAGTTCAAGAGGCAATTTTTAGAGGCCACTGTGGCTCTTCTTTGTCTTTTATTCTGGTTACCAACAAAAGGGCTTTAAGGACAAGCCTTTCCTGACTTTCTGGTTCTAAGCTAGTTTCTGGCAGCCAAAATGGGCTTTTGGTAAATTCTTACAATAAAGCAAAAACCACAGGTCCTACTTCTTAGAATGGGTTGTGAGCTAGCAAAGAAATTCTACGTCATGTAACAAAATGCTTGACCGGGTCACTACAGTTCATAGATTAGAAATAGACTTGCTATGAAAACAGGGGGCCAGCACAGATGCCCTGTCAGCATGTGATCTGAATGACTGACTGGTAGAGTGCTCCCTGTCCTGGCCCCTAGTGCTCAGGGAATGCTGTGAGACTAAAACATGACAAGAGTAAGGAGGGATTATTTTTTTCCCATTTTGAGAGTATAGTACATAGACTCAACTAAAATTTCCCAGGTAAATCGAATCGCAAAACCACCTGGACCTCATTTTATGTCCAAAATAATCTGCTTTTGCAGTAAGTCCTGCTATTAGAAATTTGCTAAGCCACTGAAGTCAAACAAAGAAATTGTATTGGGGGAATTAAGAATTCTTAGAAACCATCAAGAATAAATCACTACTAACTACTTAATCTTCTCAAATTTGGAGACTGTATCTTTTACGAATCACAAATGACAAGTCAGAAGCTTGAAGGTCCATCTCCCATATCAATAAGTCCCTTGCTAACAGACTTATTCTACCTCATCTTACTGCCTTTGCTCTGCTCTAGTTTCAGTGGATCTAGACATATTTGGTTTTCCACATGGACCAAGAGAAAGGCTCTTTGCTAATCCTTTGGGTGCCATCTCATTCAGCCAAATGAATGCTCAGGAGTGCTCATTCTGCAATAGAAATCTGAACTTGTCAAAACAATTCAGTGGCAGTAGGCCTCTACTTTCCTTTGAGACGTACAGCTAACATTTAAGGAGCTTAATTAATGGCTCCTTATTCTCCATGATCACAAGGACATTACACTGAACATAAAACACTATATAGTTTTAAATATTCATGCATTTTTGGCTTGGGCTACCCCCAAAGCAGATTTTTAAACAAGGATATGGGTATAAATATATTTTTTTCTTTTTTATGTGAGAAAGTAGGGCAGGTATAAAGTTGAACAAGGAATTATTAATGAATGGGCTATTGCTGGGAACCCTATGAGACAGTGGTGCGTGCACCTCAGAACCGTTCCACAGAGGGATAGGAAAGCAAGAGTATTACCCACTCGTGTACTGTTTGATGGTTAGTTCCCCTGCTCTTTGGCAGAGAACATCCTCAGGTGGAGAAACAGGACTGTCAGGTGGTCTAAGGTTCAATACTGCCTGCTTCACTGTACACTGTACAGCATACTTTAACATTCAGCCTAGTGGCAGGGTGAGGTGATGCACTTCTTTAATCTCAGCACTCAGGAGGCAGAGGCAGGCCAATACCTATGAGCTCAAGGTCAGCCTGGTCTACATAAGGAGTTTCAGGCCACAGGGGCAACAAAGTGAGACTCTATCTTAATAAAAACCCCAGACTTCAGTCTACTGAAGTGTTTCTTAACCTTCTCTTTTCCTTTCTTCTGTGTAGTCTCTTTTACTGTAGCTATGAGTTTGTATGCCTGACTCCACATTAGACTCTGGGCTCCCCGAGGTCAGTGTTGTTAGTGATAACATTACACCTGGCACACAGCAGATACTCTTAGAGAGTGCCGCTGGATAAGATCATGATGATACATGAAGAATGAGAGTTCTGTTTTCCATATATATAAATGAGAAAATTAAAATAAATACACATGTTAACATTCTGAATAATATTAAGTCAAGTATAGAAATGGAAACTCCAAGGCAGAAATCTTGAGTACTAGTTCAAGCCAGTTTGGTTCAGTTGCTTTCCCTATGGAAAGGAGATGATGGATAACCTTTAATTTTCTTTCAAGTGCCACAGACTTCAAATGACTCAAGTCGTATAAGCAAAGGGTAAAGACTATAAACTACACAGCAACCACATGTGATGGGTCATTTCAATTCATAAGGAGCACAGGTGACATACACAAAATGCTAGCAAGTTTGTTATACTGTGTATTGCAGATAAAGGGCCAGGACCAGAAGGGGTCTGTTGTGTAAGAGACCACCAGGGAAGCCACCTGGGTAAGATGGAGGGCTCTACGCTGGTGCCAATGCCTAGACAGAGCTGTTCCTATGTCTAAACTCTCTGCAATGTGGTTAATACCTGATTCTATTATCAAAAAGGTAGACTTTGGTTACATTACTAGATAGAAATTACCCGGAATTTTATTTTTCCTGTAAATGTCACAGAAGTGAGGGGCTGGGTCACAGTAAGAAAGATTAGGTGAGTTTAGGGATCCTATATATAACAGACTAAACCAGTGATGATTTTAAAAGAAAATGGCTTTCTCATAAAACACTGCACACGGCACCTGCATTCTATGTGCCATGGGTCAGATTTCTCTAAGAAGTCAATTTCTCAATGCTTCAGATACTTTTTTTTGTGACAAAACTTCAAAATATGGGATGAAAGAAAATTTAAAATGTAAATAAGTGCTGTTTAGAATTTAATTTTACGAGAACTACTTTACTGAATATCATTAGTATGCTTCAGGGATGTATCATATTCCTAGCAAAACAACAAGTCACTACTGTGAATGACTCTTACTCAGAGAAAAAAGAACACCCAGGAGAGTTCCTGTCCTTTCTAGAGAACAGTTGCTTTTTAAATTTACTTCTTTTATTATGTGTGTGAATGCTGGGCACATATATGCAACAATGTATATGCAGAAGTCAGAGTACAAATTTTGGTAGTTCTTCAACCTTGAGTTCTGGGGATCACACAGTCAGGCCCTCAGGCTTGTGTGGGTTTTAATCAGCAGACCATCCGGTTGGCCTGACAATTATTTCTGAGGACACCTCACAAGGTGGTGCTCAAGTCCACAGTATACGTTGCTTTAGCCATACTCATGAGCTACGCGTGCCTTCAGGGAGCTACTGTTGTTGGGTGATTCCTTTGCGTTGGTGTGTTGGAAGAAAGAAAAGTAGAGAAAATAAAGATCTAGGAGATTAACCAAAAGGAGGTGACTGGCAGCAACAATACCATGGAGGGGCTGTGCTATCCTGGACTAATGGCCGGATTTGGTTTAGTGTGTTTTGTCACTGGCTCATTGACTGTCAGAGAAACCCTCCCCAAACCCCAATATCTCAGTAGAAGAGGAACTGGATGGATTCAGGTCTTTATGACACCAGTAAAAAAAAAAATAAAATAAAAAGATGAAAATAAACAAACAAAACAAAACAAAAAACCAGACTGACTCTGGCAGGAACATCCATCCCACCCTCGAAGAAAAATGTAACCCACGTCTCAATGTGGAAAACCAAGGACAAGGGATATATAGGGGAGGAGGTTGATTGACTACTACACAGCAGTGAAATTCAGACAGGAAAAACTTTAAGAGATGCTCTTATCTGTGAGTCTTACCTTCCAGTGACAGCAAAGCACAGCATACACATCCCACGTAGGAATCCTGCGGCATGCTGCAGAAATGTGGCCATTTTGGGATTCTCATCCACTGGGCCTTGCACTGAGAGGAAGCAGCCATGCAGTCTGTCAATCAGACCCATGTTCACCACATAGCTAGTGAGAGAGAACAGTATGTCTCAATCTGCACAGGTGGCAATGTCTTCATCTTCTATGATAAACCTTAGCACATCCAGGCTTGGATCCCTCGACATATAGACAGAATATAGGTTTGAATAAAACAACTTAAGTACCAATGTCCTTAGATTTACTACTAAACAATCAGCTATTCTCTCATTCTTCTTGGTCTAAAGAATCTGACAATAGGTGAAAAAAATGTGTAATGATCTCTACACTGTTAACAAGTGGTACTTTCTTAAGAACTGGGGGACCAAATTTACCACAATGTAGGGACTTAGAAGACAAAATGATGCTTCCAAGATATACTTTCAAAACTTATTCTTTGACAACTTACACACACACACACACACTACATTACAGTCCACCTGACAACCTCACAATTTTTTATCCTTCTCTCCTAATAACCCCCTCCCACTTCCATGTGTTTCTGTTGAGTTTTCTGGTCCACTGACTTTACGCAGGACTGCTCCCATAGACATACCTAAGCACTCTTGTTACATTTTACATTTCTAATTTCAACTGTAGGTTCTCCACTAAAATAAAATCACCATTAAGAACATAAATAACATTAAGACTCTTAGTTGTAAAAATAAAGATATATAACCTTAATTGAATCATGAGGACAAACGAGGAATGCTCCATAAAATAACTTGTCCCCTCATTGAAAACTGTGGGTACATGAGAGACAGAGACTAAGAATGAAAACAATTTCAAATTAAAAAACACTTTTTAAGAGATATAGCAAGTAAACGCATTGTGTGATACTAGACAGGACTATAGACAAGAAAAAAAGAAATCTATAATGACATTACATGAGTCACAGTCATAGGACTTGGGGAAATCAAGTCATCCCTAGTGAGTAGTTTTCATAGTATTGGAAGGTTCTATGCATGCCACTGGGGGAGAAAAGTAACACTCTGCCCCAGATGACCCTGTGAGGTCTGCTAGTAACTGGCCTGATATTGTACGCCAACTAGTGCAACAGAGTGTAAGTGTTAGGAGACTAACCAACCACCTTCCTTATTTAAAGCCCTCTCTAAGAGCCAGAACTCACGCATGGTAGCATTTACTAGGCGCCTTGGGCTGGTGAGGTCATAGCCCTAGGGCAGACCTAGTATTCTGTTAAGTGGACATAGAAATAAATTGCCTCCTAAGTTCTTATTTTTATATCCATAGATTAATACACATAACAGTCCTCATTGCAGAAGCTTCTTTGATGATGGTGATTAATATAGGGACCCACAGTTAGTGCCATGTACAGAGAATAAGAGACCATGGTCTTTCTTTTAAAGATTTATTTATTTATTTTATATGAGTACACTATCACTGTCCTCAGACACACCAGAAGGGGGCATCATTTCCCATTACAGATGGTTGTGAGCCACCATGTGGTTGCTGGGAATTGAACTCAGGACCTCTGGAAGAGCAGCTAGTACTCTTACCGCTAAGCCATCTCTCCAGTACCAAGAGAGCATGTTCTAAATGAGGCATCTATACCATTCTTCTACCTACTGCAAGGCTTAGGAATCACTGCAGAAGATGGGGTGCTACAGATGATCAAAACAGTGTTCACTAGACATGACAAAATGCTGCACACACGAACTCATAGCTGTGACATGCACAACATCTGCATGAAATCCAGCCAGCCAAAATCCTAACATGGTGGAGAAAAAGGTTTATTCAGTCCCACTGCTAGTTGAGGAGCTATTGGCAACTAATGGCTCCTGAGGGAAGTAAAATCAATTTTAATAAGACCAATGAGGGCTACCCTGTTGAGATTTGTCTTTTGCTATGTATTGTAATGCTAAATACTGTTTCCCAAACCTGGTCATCCCCAGGGATGAAAGGATCTGCACTACACAAGTGATGCTTGGGTTGTTATCCTTGCTTGGTGAATAAATACGCCTATAGCCTATAGCTGGGCAGAAGAGAGATGGTGGGGTTTAGGCTTCTGAGCTTGGGGTCTGAGAAGAGACCACAAGGAGGGAGAAGGGAGTGGTAGGTGGAGAGAAGGAAGATACCATGAGGTAAGTGAATGATGAAAACACAGCCATGAGAGCTGGCCAATGGGAGTTAAGAGCAGCCCAATGGAAGACAGCAAGTCACAATTCGGGGTTACTTATAAGCAAGTAGACATAATAGCTTAGAGAGTAGATATCAGCCCAGATCTAATGCATTAAAGGCTTATCATAAATGTAAAAGTTGTGTGTCTTTTATCTGGGAACTGAACGGTCAAAGGTGGAGTAGAAATCCCCAATTCAGATTAAATTTTTCTACAACAGTACCCATGTTCCTCCACCCCTCCTACATACTGTAGCAGCAAATGGATTCGATAGGTTAAACAAAGAAGCACATGAAACTGGGAGGGGAAACTCGTAGTACAGAGACAGAGGGATTGGGAGTCACAAACTCACTTCATGTGCAACATGTACTTGTACTTGGTTTGATCCTCTGTTGAAACTTGGGTAAAACCAAATCAAACTCTGAGAATAACAATTTTTTTTTTCTCTAACCTAGGGACTCTTCTCTATTTTGCTGTAATCCACGAAACTGTAGCAGGTTAATATTTTAGCTTAACAGAAAGGTACAATCTTTGACCTTTTATTATCCTTGGCAATCAATTAATATGGGTTATAAATATTAAAATAGTGTTATATTTCTAGAATAAACCACACTTGACCATCCTTTAATATGTTGCTGGATTTACCTATGCTAACATTTGTCAGGGATTTCTATACTATATTCATCAAAGAGATATTAATATAGGACTTTTTGAGGAATATTTTTGTCACACTTATTATTAGCATTCTATTGGTATCATAAACCAAAGTATTCTTTCTTCTTCTCTGAGAAAGAATTTGTGTGATTGGTGTCATATTTTTCCCTCTGAAACGATTCACAGAACTTACAAATAAAGTCATCTATGGTCAACAATTTCTTTGTAGAGGTACCTTTATGATAGATTTCTGTTTATGCATAAAAACAGCAATTTATAAAGATTCAAGGAGTTCAACTAACCGTGGGCAGGACAAGCACAAAGTACCTACATTTAAACAGACTGTCAACTGCAGAAAGTCAAAAATAAAGTCCAGAGAGGAGTGACAAAAAGGAAACATTATTTACAGGAGAAAATGATGCAAGAAGCTGATTTCTTAAAGGATGGAGTCAGAAGACAACAGAACAGCATCTTTACTATGTTTCAAGAAAAAATACCTCTCAAAGTCGGAACAACACAGACTCTTCCAACAGTAAAGGTAAGAAACTGTCTATGGCATACTAATATTAAAATAGAACTCTAAAACAACAAATATTTAACACAAAGAATAAAAAAAGGGCCATTGTATCTGAAAGGCATACCAGTCCTGGAACACACAGACTTTCCCAAGTCATGGGATATGACCTGCCTAGGTAAAAGAACTAAATGGACACAGGTGGAGAGACTTTTCTCTTGGGATAACGTTTGTAGTGTAGCCTAAGCTGCCCTTCAACTCACTACTTTTCTGCCTCTGGAAAGTTTGGATTACAGGTCTGTGCTACTAAACTTCGGCACAGTTGGCGGGGAATGGAAGAAAGAACAAGTGAGTAGCCTTGCCTAGCTCCTAACAAACAGGCCTGCCGTACTAAACAATGGCTTCACATTGGTTAGAAGTTGTTCCCCCCCCCCCCACACACTCCTTTTTACTAACTGTTAGAACTAAGGAAAATTAGGAATATAGAGTTATGTACTGTCCAGGACACTATCCATAGGTAAATGTAGTTTGAATTCAGTCTCCAGGGCATAACCCATTAGATAAATGTAATCTAAACTCTTCTAGTTTTCCACCTATTTTTTAGACAAGGTCTATGCCCCTAATGCTGGGCTCACAGGCATGAACAGATATCCTTAGCTTGTATGTAGGTGGTGGGCATTTGAATGTCGTTTGACAGCCAGCACTCTCCCTCACTGAGTGCTCTCCTCAGTCCCTTGCTCTAGCACAAGTCTTACTGTTTAAAGAGCTAGTAGTCGTCCTGGATGTCTACAGAGATGGCAGCTCGACAGTCTTACAGGATTGTTTGGAGAGTTCCTGGAGACCAAACATAGATAATTTTGGAGGCACCTAATTTTCTACATTAAACCCTTTCAATTTAAATTTGTTACAGTGGTTTCTGTTTCTACAACCAAATTCTGATTGATATAAGTAATGGTGATGAATAATGTTTTCCTTCACTAATAAAAAGTACAATGTAAATGAAGGCAACAGCCACTAACCATTTTATGCCTATGAGAATTATAAAAGCAAGGATATAGGAAATGAGAACTTTTATTTTTTGATGATAGAAATAGAAAAATTATATAGTTACTTGGGAGAACAGTGTGGTATTATCTGGTAGAGATGAACATTCATTTATTTTATCATTCAAAATTCCTCTTGTAAGTACATGACCTTGAAAATGATACAAACACAGAATGTGTCGTCTATAAAGGTATTGGCTCCATTTTTTTAGTGAATAGTGACAAGGAGGAATCAGTTTCCTATGGGAATAGGTAAATAAATATTATGGGCTTATTTATAGAGCAGAATTGTAGAACAGCTAAAATGAACAACATTAAAATATGTTGAATTTAATTGTATCAATTAGTAGTTGACAAATACTATCAGAGTATTTATATAATTGTTAAGAAGTCATAAAAATTTAAAGTACAATGTGTTGTTTATGGATATTCACACATGCTCACACAGACACACAGACACACAGAACAGGCATGGGATGATGTCTGTCCACTCTAAGATAATGAGTAGGTCTTAGAAGAGAGAGTAGGGAAATTGGACAAAGGTGAGGAGGTAATTCCACCTGTGCCATTTGTTTTGTTTACATTAAGAAAAAAATCCAAAATCCGAGATTAAAAGAGAAAAACACCAGTCGTTAGAGCATAGTATCTACAATATTGTTTTTGTGTATGTTGATGTATTTTAAAAATTGAATATTTAAACACTGAAAAAGATATATTCATGCCTGTCCTGTGCTAGGTAAGAAGAAAGAGACCTATGTCAGGGTTTGCTCTGGCTCCGTTCAAGATCCATCTCTGCCGGGCGGTGGTGGCGCACGCCTTTAATCCCAACACTTGGGAGGCAGAGGCAGGTGGATTTCTGAGTTCGAGAGTTCGAGGCTAGCCTGGTCTACAGAGTGAGTTCCAGGACAGTCAGAGCTACACAGAGAAACCCTGTCTCGAAAAACAAAAACAAAAACAAAAAAAAAATAAAAAAAATCCATCTCTGGGCCAAGTCAGACGACAGACAGCTCCAGAGACTGCAGTGACACCTTCCCACTTAACTTACACTGACAACACTGCCCAGGATGCAGAGACAAAGGATGGTCTTCTGTCAGTTAAGATTTGGGAAGGTTAGAAAAACAAATCCGGAAATGAATACTTATGCTCTGTGTGCTCTGTGAGACATCCTCAAGGGCAAAGTGAGTGTGTCCCATAAAACCATCCCTGAGAAGACTCAAAACAAGTCCTACCCCAGGCTTAGCAGACAGCAATATTATAATGCCTATCTTTAAGAAAATAATATTCCGAAGGGCTTGTTCTCAAGTACCGTGCTTGTTAATCATCTTTTCAAAGCTACATCTGTTATCTGTCATGACAGAAGAGTATTGCTATTCCCCTCCCTCCCTGGCAATAACTTCTTTCTTTAAGAAGGATTTGGCAGGTTGTTGGAGAGATGGCTCAGTGGTTAAGGACACTGACTGTTCTTCTAGAGGTCGTGAGTTCAATTCCCAGCACCCACATGGTGGCTCCCAACCATCTGTAATGGGATCCGATGCCCTCTTCTGGTGTGTCTGAAGAGAGTGACTGGTGAAAAAAAAAGGATATGGCAACTTAGTAATACACGTGAAAAAACATGCATTTTCTCCTAGAAGGTGGACTGGAATTGCACTAAAGCATTAGGCTGGACCTTCTGCCTCACCACAGCCAAACACAGCCAAAGGAGGGGCTCATAACATCCCTAAGGGAAAACACTGGGACACAATGACATTCATCAGCAGGGATGACCAACAGGACATGAGGAAATGGAGTGGGATCAAGCAACTGAGAGAAAGGGCAGGGAGGGTAAAAGTCAAGTGCTCTGAGAGAAATGGTTGTGGACCCAAAGGGCCTGGTGCTCTCCAGCAATAAATATGCTTGCAAAAGAGGGCAGGAAGATGAAAGGGGGAGTGAAGGAAAGATACTGAAAGAAACAACTCTTCCCAAGGAAGCAGCACAAGAAGTCAGAGGGAATTTATGAGCTGTGAAAGAAACCAAGGCAGAGGAGGGCATTTTCTTTCTCTATTAACCTACCATAAGTTTCATAGAGCAACAAATTGCATGGATTTCGAATCCAAAGATGAGTGCAGGCCACAGAAGGCTTGCTGATGGAGGTGAGGGGGGAACGGTAACTGAGCAACACCAGATGGAACCCTGCTGGGAAATTAAACATTCTACCTGACTCAAGATTCACAAGGGGGAAAAAGTTCAGATGCTAAAGTAGGAGTAAATTTCCCTGGAGCAAAGGAGACCTTTGAAGGAAGCAAGGCAGGCCCGAGCAGGTGTCAGAAACCGCCACGTTTGTGTGGATGGAGGGAGTGTACAGACGCTGAGAGTCTAAGGAGACGTGAGCTCCGTCTCAGCTTTCCATTCTCCTTTTAACTCATTTCATAGCCTTGGCCAAAGCACTTAACCTTCCTGAATCTAGTTTAAATTAGTTTAAATCCTCATCTAGTTTAAATTAGAAGCTGTACACGTCCAGGGGTGCAAAGACTCCTAAGTCTTCCCTGTAACAAGTGCTCCATAAATGGTAACTCTTGATATTAAGTCTGGACTAAGACTTGACTGAGAGGGGTGCTCAGATCCGCTGAGGAGCCGAGTGCTGCTCTTGATATTGAGAAGCTGCAGGACTCTGGCGCCACATCTGAGAGGGGCAACTGCGCTTTGTGTTGCTCTTCCTTCTTTCTACAAATGATGGCCTAGATTCTACCAAAAACTTATGGACAATGCTGCAAAAACTACAGCTATCTGCAGTCTTAAGGTATAATTATTTTAATATCTTAAGAAAACACTTTAAGCCGTGTAGTGATTTTACCTGATAAGGTCTTGCACTCGACTGTTAAAGGCATCACCTTGTGAGGGTTTGTTTTTCATTTCCTGTGTTGATATTTTTGGGGTGGCTGGCCGGCTGTTTCCATCTGGTCGGTTGGCAATCAGACAGTTAAAAACTGCAGCACCAGCTCTGAGAAGTCCAGTAGTCAAGCCTTCAAAAACTTGTTTATTTGTATTTCTTCCCAAAACAGCATTATTTTCATCTGGAACATAAACCTAGAAATAAGAAACAGTGAGTATGCTTCAGTGAAATCATGAAAATTGGACAGAGATAACTTGTGAAAGTTCTAGAATCATAAAAATTTCTGAAATTCTATCCAAGGCAATGAGACACTCAAGTGTGCTGGCTCTGAGGTTGGGTGACCAGTCAAATCCTACCTTTGCCTTTATTAGTCATACGATATTGGGAACATTATTTTTTCTAAATTCTAACTTTTTATCTATAAAACAGGGATAATAACATGCCTCCATTATAGGTTCCTAAAAGTGCGAACTGAGGTAAATGCATACAAAACACTATCACAGGGATTAGCACAGAACTATATTAAAATTTTGAATGAACTAAGTTTATACACTCATAACACTGTTTCATGTGAAAATGGATTCTTAAGAATACTCAATTTAAATATCTCTAGTAGGACAACACTTGCATTTCTTATTACAAAATGGCAAAAGTTCTTTTTCTGAAACACAGAGTGGCACTGTGTCGCTCCTCAGGTACCTTCTGTCTTTTGTTTGAGCCAGGGTCTCTCACTGGAGTCTCTGCCTCCACATCTTGTCAGTGGTGGGGTTACAGGTATATGTCACTGCACCTGGCTTTTTATGTGGGTTTTGGTGACGCATGCTTTGATAGTTTTGGTCCTCATGCTTGTGGGACAAGTGCTTTACTGATTTAAACAAAGCATCTTCCCAGCTCCTCCATGATGATTTTCATTTAATTTATATCTTTAATTTTGTGAAATTACAGGTTTTAAAGAAAAATTGATTTTAAAGGAGATTTTCTCTTATATCTGACTTCTCTGTATTTTATATTGGAGATTTTTTTCAACATAGTACTCTTGGACATGACCTTCAGCCTCCCAGCATGGCCTCGGCTGGCAGAACAACTGAGAAGGGACCCCTAGTCTGAAGGCACAGGGCTCAGGGTGAGGAGCAAGCAGTAATGACCCCTGCCTGGTGCCATGCAGCATGGGCAGGACATGCGATTCCTGAGCTGACCCGAGATACCCAAAGGGCCCTGGGGCCACGAAGATGAGTAAGTAAGTGGTGGACAGATGAAAGAGAACAGTGTGAGTACAATGAAGAGAGGTCGAACTGGAGATCCGAGATGGTGAAGAAGAGCCTGAAGTGAGTAGCCAGTGATGATACCTAAGGTCATGGTGAGGTCCTGGCCCGGGGCCCCCACTGAGCAGCAGGTGATCTGTTACTACCAAAGGCCTGGCAGAAGTCTCTGGTCTGAGCTGCCACCTCGGGCCATGTTGATGGCTGAAGGCTGCTCAGAGCTGGCCCTACCCATCCCCTGGGAATCCTGGGAGAGCTAGCCCTGCCTCTCAGCTGCAGTACTCCAGAGACATGACTGCACCTAGTGGGAGGTGCAAGTGAGCCAGCCCTGAGGATGTGAGCCTGGGAGAGCTAGCTAGCTCTGTCACTCCTCTGTTGTAAGGTGGTGTGGGTGAGGGAAAGATGCCCACCCCTCACCATCCTGGAGTCATGAGAGTGGAGAGCTGGTCCTACACCTTACTAGCTAGATTTGGAAGTAAAGAAGTATGGACAAAAGGGTATACCTTCGAATACACTGTGACACACTACAGCTTCCACAAGGAGATTTTTTATTCCCTTTTGGAGGAGGTAGAATTTTTTTTTTATACTAAAGATTCATGCCCAGGTATGTCAATCCGTATATTATAGCCTGCATCCAGTAAAAAAAACAAAACAAAAAAAAACAAAAACAAAAAACTGTTTGACAAGATCTGTGTGACAGGCTTTGTTATGCTTGATTAGGAAGAGACACAATTTTCCCCTACTGGTAAATTCTAACTGTCTTAGTCAGGGTTTGTATTCCTACACAAAACATTATGACTAAGAACCAAATTGGGGAGGAGAGGGTTTTTTCAGCTTACACTTCCACATTGCTGTTCATCACCAAAAGAAGTCAGGACTGGAACTCACACAGGGCAGGAACTTGGAGGCAGGAGCTGATGCAGAGACCATGGAGGGGTGCTGTTTATTGGCTTGCTTCCTCTGGTGTGCTCAGTTTGCCTTCTTATAGAACCCAAGACTACCAGCCCAGGGATGGCCCTCCCACCTTGATCACTAATTGAGAACATGCCTTACAGCTGGATCTCACGGAGGCATTTTCTCAAGGGAGGCTCCTTTCTCTGTGATAACTCCAGCTTGTGTCAAGTTGACATACAAAACCAACCAGTACACTAACTACTACTATTTTCAAGTCTCTTCTCTTGAGACAGTCAATGTTAGCAATCAGGCATCTTTACAAGCAGCTTTCACGGGATCCAGCAACAAGACATGTCATCTCTCGCTGCCCAAGGGACACTGTCCCGTGTCCCTTTGAGTATGCACCATAGCCCCAATAAAAGTCACAGTCTCCTGGTGTTCCTCCCGACCCCTCACCCCAGTTTTCTCTCTCACAGAGGCTGCCTCTTTAATAACTATCCTATGTAAGACCTGTTGCATGGCGTGTTCTTGTCAGGACCCACTGCCTAATTCCATCCTTCAATTCCACTGTGTGGAATTCTGTATTCCTCAAACCTCAAGTATGTAACATGGTGCCCAGGAGTCAGAGGCTCATACAAGTTCAAGTGCCACTGATTTGGCAAAAGATCCTTTTTAACTGTTTGTTGATTCTTTGTTAATTTTAGATCATGTGCCCCAATCCCATTCATTTTCTTGTTCCTTTAAATCCTTCCTTGTAACCTCCCCCCTCCTGAAAGTAAAAAGAAGTAAAATAAATAAATAATCAAAACAAAATCTCATTGTGGAAGCCGTAGTATGTCCCACAGTACACCCTTTTGTCTAAACATCTTCACTTGCAAATGTCCACTGCAATGAGTCACTGGTTTGGTCCAAGGCCTCTGGCTTCTGCTATATAGTCAAGACTGGATCCGCACCAGGCTCCTCCTGTTGTCCCCTGTGTCACGGAGATCCTGCAGCTTTGGACCTGTAGGACTGGCACCTTTATGTGCTCCGGCAGATAGGGTGGTACTCCAACTCAAAGCCTTAGATCTGGGCCTGGGTGGTACCTGAGCTGGTCTGCCAGGGCAGCACTCTGGAGCCAGCACCACAAGGGCCAGCTCTCCTGCTTTGCTTAGGAGAGGGGCAGGGCCAGCTTTCCCACAATCAAGCCATAGTCATTCAGTCATCTCTCTCCACACCCACACTACCAATGCCAGCTCTCCAGCACTGCCCTGGCTATCTCACCCAAGTGCTATAGTCAGAAAGAGGAGGAGCCAGCTCTCCTGCCTGGGAAAAGACTTGTAATGACTCATCATATTTCTGTATGACTGTCTGGTGACTCCAGTTCCTGAATAGTTGGTTTAAAATTTTCTGTGAGGTAAGTGAATATTAGCCAAAAAAGTATAGAATACCTAGGATATAATCCATACAACTCAAGAGGGTTAACAAGAAGATGGGCCCAAATGAGGATGTGTCAATCTTACTTGGGAGGAAGAAGAAAACAATCATGGGAGGCAGGGGGGTGGGAGGGACCTGGGTGAGAGAGGACAGGGGGAGGGGGAAAGGAGAACATGGTCAGGTATGGGGTGGGGGAGACAGGAGAGAAGCCCTGAAGGCCAGCAGAATGAATGGAAATATGCAACCTTGGGGGTGGTGGTAGGTGGGGGGGGTCCCTCTAGAAATTACCAGAGACCTGGGAGATGAGAGACACTCAGGACTCAGAGGAAGGATCTTAGATGAAATGCTCAACAGTGGAGAGGGAACTTGTAGAGTCCACCTCCAGTAGAAAGATAGGGCATCAAGTGGAGGGATAGAGTTGCCATCCACAGTCAAAAATTCTGACCCAGAATTATTCCTGTCTAAAAGAATTGTGGGGACAAAAATGGAGAAGAGATTGAGGGAAAGGTGGTCCAGTGACTGGCCCAACTTGAGATCCATCTCAAGGGGAGGCCTCAAGGCCTGACACTATTACTGATGCTATAGTGTGCTTACAGACAGGAGCCTAGCATGGCAGTCCTCTAAGAGGCCAAACAAGCAGCTGAGACAGATGCAGACACTTACACCCAACCATTGGACTGAAGTTGGGGACCTTTAGTTGAATTAGGGAAAGGCTGGAAGAAGCTGAGGAAGAGGGCAACGATATAGGAAGACCAGCAGTCTCAACTAACCCGGACTTCTGAGATCTCTCAGACACTGAGCTACCGACCACGCAGCATACATGAGCTGGTCTGAGGCTCCCAACACATATACAGCAGAGGACTGCCTGGTCTGGCCTCAGTGGGAGAAGATGGGTCTAACCCTTGAGAGACTTGATGCCCCAGGGAATGGGGCAGCCTGATGAGGGGCTAGAGGGGGATCTCCTCTTGGAAACGGGGGTTGGGGGGAGGAGGAATGAGATGAGGAACTATAGAAGGGTGGACAGGGAGGGGACAATTACTGGAATGTAAAAAAGTAAAAGTAATAAAAAAATGAAAACTAAAAAAATTTTTTTTCTGTGAGGGCTGGGGAAGGACACATACTTGGATGCACTCATAGCAGGTAAGACCTCAGGCATATAGGCCATTTAAAACTACCTCTTTAAAACACTATATGTGTATGCATGTGTGTATATATACACATATATACATACACATGTATGTATGTATGTATGTATGTATGTATGCATCTGTGTATACAGGTGGCCTAGGTCCAGCCCCTGCATGTTCTTTGGTTGGTGGTTCAGTCTCTGTGATCCCCCATGGGCTCAGGTTACTTGACTCTGTAGGTCTTCTGTGCTGTCCTTGACTTCTCTGGCTTGCTCAATTCTATCTCTCACTCTTCCATAAGACTTCTCCAGCTCTACCTGATATCTGGCTGTTGGTCTCTACATCTGTTTCCATCTGCAGCTGAACGAAGCCTCTTAGGAGACAGTTGCCTGCCATTGGACCCCATTCCCCTGACTGGACTGCCTAGTTGAGTCTCAGCGGGAGAGGATATGCTTAGTAGGTGTCTCAGGCTTCGGTAGCACCCAGGGGAAGCTTCCC